CCATTCCCCCTTACGGATCAGGCAGGCCAGCCAGATCCCACCCATGCATGAATTCATGCACCGGGCCTCTAGTGAAAAATAAAACTAAAGGGATTCGGGGAAGAAGGAATGGGGAGTGACATCTTAATGAGTAGGGGATTTCCATTGGGGAATGATAAAGAATAGTTTTGAAAATAGTTTTCACAGCATTGTGACTATACTTCATGCCACTGAGTTGTATACTCTAAGATGGTTAAAATGGAAAATTTTATGTTATGTGCATTTTATTAGAATATAAAACACTCTGGTAACTAGCCAACAATATGAAACAAACAAACAAAAAAATCTAGTGGAGGAGTGAAGATTGGATATTTAGATAAGAGGTTGCTATAGCATTCCAGGTGAGAAGATGACAATGTGGAATAGGTGTAGCAGTTAAAAAGGAAAGCGGGCAGAAATATAAATCCCTGGGAAGACAGAACTGATAAGTCCTAGTTGATATGGGTAATGAGGGATAAAGTCAAGTTAATACTGACTCTAAGGATCCTGCTTCAGGTGACTGAACAGATAGCTAGCCATTCACTGAGGCAAGTAACAAGATATTTTACTGATGGCAAAAATTGAAAATTGCGAAGGTTAAATGTTAGTCCAACTTCACACTGTCAGAGTGCATCAGGGCTGAAATGAGAACCATCTAATACACTACATTTCCATCATAACCTCTTTTCTTTCTGCTCTCTCTTAGGTAGAAGTAAATGAAAAGTAAAATATCTCCCATTTCTCATTGTAACCTACTCACTCTCTGGTATCTTCCTATCTCTCCATATGTATACACTAATCTTAGTTGCTCACTTGCAAACTAATAAACTGTTGGGTTCAACAACAGGATAATGGAGCTTAGACAAGAACTTGTGATAGAAACCAGAGGGAAAATAAGAATCTTTAAGAAAGGAAGAGCCAAAAAAAAAAGATAGGAATTAAAGAGCAGCCAAATTACTCTAGTAAACAGAAATTCTATTTGACGATTGTGAATAAGCCCTAAAATATATATATTAGAAAATAGTAGATTCTGGGTGTTTTGTAGATCCAGATCCTTATCTTATACATTGCCAGTAGAGGGAGCTTTAATCAAGATACCATGACTAACGCAAGCTTGCCTGAAAAATATCTAGAACAAGCATGTCAAACTCAAAGGCTAACATGGGCCAAATAAACAAGGTACAAGTTTATGTGGGCCGCAAAAAAACAAAAGCTTCAATTTTCATAGAAACGTAGGTTTATTTCGATAGAGACATGCTGAATACAAAGGGCTGAAATAAATGAGTAATCCTTAACATAAAATAATAGGACATGTTAATAAAACTTAGTATTTTTTCTTCAACAGTAACTTACCAGACACTGAATAACTGCACAAATTAATAAACATAACGCAAATAAACCTATTTTTCTTGTTCTCCAAAAGCGAAATATTTCCTGTTGCGCACACCAAACAAGTCAGTCCAAGACTAATGACGTGGCAATCATCAGCTGCTAAAATATTCGCTATTAGTATTAGTGGAGAGAAATGGTGCGCCTGCGCATAAGGCGTGTAAGGGAAACGAATGCAACACGATTATAGTAATAGGTCATTAGCGAACGTTGTAGTTCATTTATTAGTAATTATGTATAACAGGATATTGTAAAAATTAAGTTACAAAATTTTTATTAAAACCTTTTCTTACATACCGTTATACTGACTGGGCTGCAAAAATATTCGTTGTGGGCCACGAGTTTGACATGCTTGATCTGGCATGTAAGGCCACTAAAGCATAAAAGAAAGCAAATACCCCATATTATTCTACAGACAGTTAATCCTACCTTTCTTTCACTAAATCGTTCTCCAATGGATAGATCAAAACTCAACAAGCTATGTTTTCTAGAGGAATTGTATCACAACAATTTTAAGCATTACTCTTAATTTTTAATGCACATGGAATGAGGATGTGCACTTAAGAAATGGACTGTTTAAAGGGATCATGTAATGCATCATTTTGAAAGAACCTATGCTAAACCCTTCTAATTAAAGTAGGTTTTCATATGTAAAGTTTGCTTAAAGTAAAATCGTGCTACAAATCTGTAACGTTCTTCATTGGGATTGGCAGTGCGGTAAGACTGTAAGATGGTCTTGTGGAGCTATGGATTGGCAGAACTTACCTAGGCAAAACAGGTAACTGTCTAATTCGTGTTACTTGAAGGACACTAGGAAGATCCTCCCCAAAACCACCACTACACCAACAAACAGCTCACCCATCAATGCCTAAAATCCTCTCACCGGAGACGTACTCCTTAGTTTAGGTGTTTATTATCTTCTGTCAGTAGCTCTACAGGGGTAAGTCTCAAATGTCTTATAGAATGGGTTTATTAAATTACTTTGTTACAGAACTGGTAACAGGTGAGAGTACTAGGCAATTTGGTAGGAAGAAAACACAGGAGAGAAGCCAGGAAGGCAAGAACTGGTGAGTGATGTAGTTACGTTTTGCCTATTTTCCAATGTACTCATTACTACTCCTTGTACCCCCACCACACAATCCAGAAGTTCCTGTTACTTAGGTCTTCCAGTAATTTAGAAGAGTTCTTCAACAGAAGTTTAAACCTTCAAGATCGGGTCATAGTAGTATGTACCACAATCCATCTTCGAGATGCTGTCAGGAAAGGGAGAACGCTGGTACCTAACCCTGCTTCACTCGTTAAGTGACCCTGGGCAAATTTCTTGGTCTCCTTTGGCCAGTGGTTCTCAACCTTCCTAATGTTGCGACCCTTTAATACAGTTCTTCATGTTGTGGTGACCCCAAACCATAAAATTATTTTCGTTGCTACTTTGCCGAAACCGGTTTGGCTCAGTGGATAGAGCGTCGGCCTGTGGACTGAAAGGTCCCAGGTTCGATTCCGGTCAAGGGCATGTACCTGGGTTGCGGGCACATCCCCAGTAGGAGATGTGCAGGAGGCAGCTGATCGATGTTTCTC